ATGCCCCTATCTTCGACTCAGTATGTAGGGATACCAAACAATTAATCGCATGATTTCAACCATGTAACTGAAAAAACAGTCTGTTTGCACATTTTCGAAATAACTAAATCATTTATTTAGTGTATTTTTGTACACACAGCAGGCATATTTGACATGACCGATTGCAGCTCAAATTTACTATTTATGGTTAATATTAGCTCATTTTGTAGCAAGCAGTTGTAATATTTTGGTTGATATACCTCTAAAATTGCATAATATGATTCGTTAACTAATACAATTATGCTGCATAAACACTTCATTTCCGTGCACTATATAAAGAGCTCATGGGACATCATAACTAATTGCAGAATTTCGTGCTGCTCTCGCTGTACCATTAGTACAGCATTTGAATTATATGGTGAACAGATGTATCCAATGCATATAATATCTTCTTATTTTATCAATTGTCTCTTATGAGATAATGTATGTTAATTGCTGTCGTATTTTAAAGCGACTGAGCAATAAAAAACAAATTTTGTTGACTATTGATACAAGTAACGAATACAATATGAACAAATATGTCATATTTACCAATTTTACTTGAGAATGATATGTTTCTTAAGTGTATCAAGAAATAATCAGAGCATAATCGCAGTGACAAGAATTAATTAAATATTTTGGTCTAACAAGGTAAATTAATCAAATAATCTACTAGCACATATCCATAAAGCAGAGAAGACATCACATGTAAAATCACAAACTGGATACTTTGGTCTCACAGGAGTCTGAAACATTGTTCTATCTGTAAAGTAAGTAGAGATGAGGAAATGCGTATGGCTGGGTTTCCAAAAGAAAAATCTTGAGAGCATTTTCTGTTTGATAAGAAATACTCTGCTTAATACACTAAAGTTCGAGGATCGGTCAACGGTTTTAGAGACATTTTTAGTACAAAAATAGCTTATACCGGTTTATTTAGCACAAATTAATACTAATTTGCTATTTATCACAAACATCTTGATTGTTCATGCAATATCATGTACTTTAGAAGAGAGAAATAATAAATGTCCAGAAAATTAAGGAATATGACTATTTTGTCAGAGAATTTTACGGATCGAATAAAACTATGAGTCAAAGAATACGAACATAAAGGTTGTTATTTTGCTGCTGTTTTTGTGATTCATTGACTTCACATTACTGTCTATGTACCATTTAAACACTAATCATAAATAAAACGTGTTAAAAACGATACTTCTTTGTTCGTTTATTGTAGTTTGGCCAGTATATTGCAATTTAAGTTGACCCCAACATTGAATCGATATTCAAGGATGAACATGGCACCACAAGCACAAAACATGATTAACGGCTATGTTCAACAACACTCTGTGTATCCAGTTAGTTAATATACTTCTTGGCAATCTAGCAACGCCTAAGTATTTGGGTATTGGCTTTGGTCAATGTACAGTCTTCTGTAAAATCGTGTGTTCGTTGGAATGAGAACTGGTCACCGGCAGTCAGTTTGATTCCTATTCGGGACAGCTTCCCGCCAATTCAAGGCCCAGTACCCTTATCAATCAATGTTATCGTTTAACATTCGCCACTGCAAGTTACTGCTTCTGGTTGCTCGGGTGATCGATTGACCCTACACGCAGGATACTCTTGTAATTTTTATTAAACTTGCCTTAGAAGCTCAAGAACAATTCATAAAATATCAAGACAACTTGAAACATGGTTGATCAGTTTGCGAAAAAATAAAGAATTTTTATTTCGTACGATGCACGGAATAAAGGGCTAGAATTGCTCTGCAATTCATTTATTCGGGAATGCACTCAACTGTTATTTAGGATTACACGTAAATCACACGACTGCCAAGCATAAATTAATTTTAACCTGACTAAATATTTAAAACAAGTGAAAGTAACTAAACACAACATGACATGTTAAATTGTCTTTGAAACGCATTTGTTGAAAATTCAAAACATTCTCGAGGTCCTTAAATGGAGTGCCACTGCATAACAATGCATCAATACTGCCAGGAAGGTGTTTGTATTGTCAAAGTCTGGACATAAGTACGTCGAAACTGATTGTTTTGTATCATATACAGCTAACTTCTCATCCCTTTTACAACGTGGATCAAGCTTTCTGAGACACCATTCCCATACAGCTATACTATATGCAA